AAAGTGAGTGACAGCTACTGAATCGTGGAAGAGGTGCCCCCTCGTAGGGTAACGTAGCTACTCTATCGACAATACTCCTTCCCTGCTCTTTCTGTCCCAAAATGACAGAATATAAAATGGGAATCAATCATTGGCGGATATATTTCTGGTTCGCGAGCTTCCCCCATCAACCATGCGTGGTGATGGTAAAAGTGCAAATCTACTCACCGTTACACTGGAAAATCAAAAAATAACGCGTCATACCTGTCCCGCCCCGTGATATGGGTCCTGGCCGAGAATGACCACCTTCACTTGCGGCATCGGCGCTAAATTGAAGGCGTTAAAAATTAAGTTCTTCGGGGGATAAATTGTTTTGCCATCCTGGTACTCCTTCTCTAAGAAGTTGGATATCTCTCTAAAGTATGGTTTACTGAATTCGGCTGATATTTCGATACGCCAGCTTTTTTCCGTTAGATAGCGCGTCAGATTAGATACAGCCGAAATTTTGGGCTGTGTCATAAGCGCAGGGACAACCTTCGTCTTCTCGTTGGTCGTACTTGCATCTTGTTCGGACTTCGCGACCTCTATGCTTCCATTTTTTGGCTGCTGTTCAGCAGTTTTAAAATAGCTGTAAATTTTCCGCTGCTTCTTGTTGCTCGCTTCTACAAACAACAATTAAATGAGCAACTCGGACATGACGCACCGTCCAAACAAACGATAAAAAATTACGCTGATCCATTATCTAACAGTAATGTAAAGCTTTGTAAGTTTCAGCCTTACTTACCGAAAGTTCGAATTTGTGGTCGCTAAACTTTTCCCTCATGGCAACCTGAGACACGCTGGAAACTACACAAAATGTGAAAACATCCTTGAGGGTCTTGATGAAGAACGGCCTTTGAACTATGATCCTTACGGACTGAAGGTGAAGTGAACAGTGTTCAACCTAAATATGAGGCGCCATTTCAAATCTAAGGTACTCTATGAAAACGACAGCTATGTATAACACCCTACACAGAGCAATCGCCCTACCTCAATGACAGAGACTGGCAGAGCAGCGTGTCTTTCCTGATCCCTAGAGATTTCAAAATTACTACTGTAACAACCCGGGGAGAGAGCTGCTGCAATGAGGGTCCATCTAGTAAGTTGCTTGAACATTGGCCTATATTTGGAATGAGACGCACTACTGCTCGATCGTATAAGTACATTTAATCATGAATACAAACTGGTGATACAACACAAATCCACGACAAAAGGCACCCAAAAGTCCATGCGACAAGCTTCCTTCAACGACGGGCTGGATCTCTCGTACCTGTTCTTCGAGCGCTAAAGCCACTCCGCGTTCAGTATCGACGCCTTTCCCACGACCACGCTTCTTAGCAGCACGTTTCCCACCCAATGCTATCATCGGTCCATAGGAAAACAACTTTTAGCAAAGCCTGCAGGGCCTGCTACACTATACTTACAATTAAATTACATCGTAATCTTTTCCATCGTGGCTATTTAAAAATAAAGCCAGGCATAAAGCAATATTTCTTTGAAAACAACAGGCTAGACAACTGTTATGCCCGTTAGGTAAACAGGTACAACCAAAGACAAATGTCCATTTTTAGTGTTCTTTTCATGTCGCGGTTCCGCAGTTTCAGGAGGTCTTTTTGACGGGTGAGACCGCCGTCAAATGAACAAGTCCAGTGGTTTGGATTCCGAAGCACGACAATGCCACGTTTTTTGTACAGTCAAGCCATCTGGCCTCTGTGGTCTGCTAAACTGCTGTCTTCCATATGGCTTTGCAGAGAGTTCGATGTAATTCCCCGAAGCACTCAAATCAAGTGTTCAAATAATCATCCATGATCAACCAACCTAAAAACGTGCTAAAACATAAAGCAGCTCGAACTGCCGTGTTTCGAACCTCTTCGAGCATGGTCACACCAGCAAATCATCGATGTTTTTGCATCAGGAATTGCAGTTTTTTGTTTATTTCCAGTACTCATGGCCAAGGGTGCGTCGACAGACTTAGAAGAGAAAACCTCACATTACTGTTTAGCTCCTCATCACCACAGACCGGTTTGGCTCCCACGTTAGGGCAGTCAGACCGATTCGTGTTTTTGTTTC